TAATAATAGTGGTACATACACCATACGGTTTTCACTAGTTTTCAAGAGGCAATCTCCAGGCCTTTCTTCCTACTTCTCCACCTGGAAATTCCACCAAAACTTGATCCACAGCATAGCAGCGTGCAGACTTCCACTGACAGACGGTACATGAAGTGTGCTGGCCGAGACTCGAACCCGGATCTCCCCTGTGGGAGGCGAGGATTCTACCACTAAACTAACTAGTCCTTCCTAGTAAAGCTTAAAGTAAAAGCCGTCTTGAATCACGCTAGGGCCCAAGATACTGGTTTATATTAAAAATACGAGTCAGGTGCTATACAACTCATAGCAACCCAGCAGAGCTGAGCCCTCCCCAATCCTGTGCCAGCCGCAGCACCTCTGACACACTGGAGTCCACTGCTGCAGGCACTGTGTCAACCCCTCTCATTGGGAGTCTTCCTCTCTTTCACTCAGCCTCCATCCTTCCAAGCATCATGTCTCTTTCCAAGAGAAGACTCTCTCCTAACAACATACAATGGAATACATGAGTGTCGACGTAATAGGCATTAGTGAGATGCGAAGGACGAGCTTTGGCCACTCGGAATCTGATAATCATATGGTTTATTTTGCAGGGAATGAAAAACAGAGGATTAAAGAGCAATGACGTCAGTTTGAGGACTTAGGTGTATCTGATTCAGGTCATGGTCTTTCCGATTACTTGCTGTGCCTCTGAGAGCTGGACAATGAATAAGGATGATGGAAAAAGAACTGACACCTTTGAGCTGTGGTGTTAGGAGGAGAGCACTGAACATCCCATCGGTGTCCAAGAGAACAAACAGACATGTCTTGGAGAAGGTGCAGCCAGAGTGCTCTTTGGAGGCAAGAATGATGACACTTCACCTCACATACTTTGGGCATGTTGCTAGGAGAGGCTCTTCCTTGGAGAGGGACATGATGCTGGGAAGGGTGGTGGGTCAGCGAAGGAGAGGAAGACCCTCGACCAGGTGGATTGATACGGTGACTGCTGCAATGGGCTCCTGTGTGTCAGGAAGTGTGAGGATGGCGCAGGATAGAACAGGGTTCAGATCTTTTGTTCACAGGGTCGCTATGAGTCGTGCTTAACTGGATGACACTTAACAACAACAATAACCTGTCCCAAGTATGCAAGATGAAACTCTGCCTCCCTTGCCCCTAAGAAGCACTCTAGCTACTTGCCTAAAAGTCACAAAGTCACAGCAGGGGCTCCCGTGCTAGAATTCACAGAGAACAGTGCTGCTAATGTGAAGCTGGGGCCTCTCTGATGGTTCAAATCCACCAGCTGCTCCCTGGGAGAAAGACGGCCACTCACCTCCCACGTGATTCACAGCCTCCAAACACTCACTCGAGGGTCAGCTCGGAGCTGGTTCTAACCCGACAGCAGTGAGTTGGGTTTCTTTTTTAATTAAGTAAATGCACCCCCCGTCCCCCAAAACATGACTTAAAACAACAGCCGTGCACGCCAGTCAATGGCCATGAGCGAGCCTGTTTCCACCAGGCCTGGCAGCGGAGTCTGGGGGTCAAGGTTTCCTGGGCCCCACATAACACGTTCTCGTCGACTACCGTAGCTGCACAAATGTTTTGGGCAAACAAGAGCATCTATATAATTTGCACACACGGTCCGCTTTGACAAGATTTACATTCGCCGGTTCATTAATTGAATAATGTGTCAACATAACAAAACATTTGCCTCCTGTTATCTCAGAGGAACAAAATCTCCCCTGGGCAGGATGTTCCATTTCACGGGTTCCTCTCGGCCCCGGCAGAGGACTGCAGACCCGCCGTTCCGTTTAAATGAGCTACGTAGTGTTCACGCCTGCTGTTCCTCTATCTCCGGTGGAAAAACCTGGGTCACTAAAATAAAGATGTACACAGACATACTGTCGTGACTTTAAACAGCTGAAAAGAAAAAGTCAACAGGGACAAACCAGGGAGCTGGAGTGACAGAGAAGGTAAGAAGCGCTGCCATCCCAAAGGTACACAGTTCTAATCCACCAGCTGCTCCAAGAGAGAAAGACGGGCAGTCTCCTCCTGTGCGATGCACAGTCTCTGAAAACTCACGGCGGGAGGGGGGGTGTCAGCTCTGAGTGGGCTCAGACTGGAGAGCAGCACATGAGGGAAAATGGGAAACCAGCAATCTGTGGGTGGCACTGAGAGCGAAGCACTGGACTAATTCACCACAACGTGGTTCAAGGTATTCACTCGTGGACTTCACGGAAGCCAAGGCCTGATGACCTCTATTCAAAAAGGTCACAGTCCCTGGACACTCTGCAGCCCCATTTGTGGACTCGCCATAAGCCACAATTAACTGAGCAGTCGCTGCTTCATCAGTGATGGGCCACCGGGAAATTTTATGCGTCTCATTTAGATACTAAGATGACAACTAACTCTTAGCTACCTTTTTCCAAGAATCCCCAAGGCAGTTGACTGCACAGCTGAAAACAGAATGAAGCTGAAACAGAAACTCTTTATCAGAAGACGTTCAACCGGTATCCTTTATCAACCTGGTGAAATCACACTCGTTTTAGGAACTCTTAGAAACGGAAGTATTTTGCCAAGAAATGAACTTTCTGGCTGGATCTAGAAAGAGCCCCACCAGCCAGAAACCAAGCAGGTAGCTAGCTAACTGCCGCCCAGAGGCAGAGGAAATTTTGCAAGATGTCTTTACCTGATAATGTCAGTGTAACTGAATCCCACCACAGTACAATGAGTGACTGTTACTAGGCAAACGGTTACCCTGCAAAATCAAGCCAAAGCAAGCAGTGAGCAACAGGGAGACAAGTGAGACTCCCTACAGGCTGGGATGGCCTCGTTCAAAAGTCTGTTTGGAAAAACAGCCACCGAAAAGCAACTGAAGAGTTGTCTCCCAAAAATCACTGGCCCGCAGACACTGCTCCATTCTAAAATGTCACTCCACAATATGCTTGCCACTGTCACTAATTCTGTAAAAGCAAGCACTGCCAGAGAATTACCACTGAAAACCAGTGACCAGGAGGAAGTGACTATCTAAGCACACGAGAGTGTTTTCAAGAGGGGCGACAGAAAAGCAGAAGTCCCAGGAAGCTCAAAACACCAAGAAGAAGGGGGAGTGGGGAGGGAGGAAGGAACAGATGTTCTTAATTTTAATATTATTATAAGACCCCTCACGGACATGGGTGGGGGATTCAACCCAAATGCTGAGATTTGCTGCTAGTATGTACAGAAACTCTGAAAATGTAGGGCTCCTTGCTCTTTAAGGGGGGAGCTCTGGTGTCTAGTGCTTAGAGGGGAGTGGGAAAGGCAGAGGGGAAAGGAAGTCTGTATCGCATAGCACGTTCATAGACACGCACAAGTTCTACTGTTGCTTAATGTGATCTAAGTTTGATGTGGGATTCCTGTCTTCCTTTTCCACCTGCCTCTACTCTTCAACTCACTAGAGAGCTGTCAAATTCTAGACGAGGCTTTTCAATTTCACAAGTCTCCCCTAAAGTCTGCCCTCTTCCCTGCTTTTCCCTGCTGGGCATGGCTTATCAAAGGGCATGCCCAGCAAGACGAAGCAGCCAAAAATAGCCAGACCAACCATGGCTTCATTGACACCGTTTGTTGGCTTTTCCCAACAAATCATCCCAAGGGACTGATATTTACCACATCATAACGTTTTCTTTACTAATCTGAATAAGCTGAGATGGCCTCATGCAAAGTCAGTCTAAAAAAATAACAATTCTTTTACAGCAGAATTAGTAGCAGTGGTGAGCATATTCCCAGTGATGGTTTAGAAGAGCCCAGTGATTTGGGGAAAATAACTCTTCAGTTGTTATTTACTTGCTATGTTTTCAGCAGACTTTTGAATGAGGCCATCTGACCCTCTAAAGGATTCACTTTGCCTCAAAAGGAAGCTCTGTTTTCCTTTTTTTTTCTTGTGTCAGGGCGAAGCAATCTCAGGTGTGTATGATGTTTGAAGAACTGAGAGTTTCGACCACTGGAGACCACCTGGGTTTGGGCTCCCCCTCTTTTACAAAATTGCAGTTTCAAATTCACAGCAAACGAGATGCTTCATTTTCCTCATCAGTTCCACACAAGAGCTATTTTAGAACTGAAGAGCTTCACATTTGCTGTGTGAAACCATGATGGTGCTGATGAGGAAAGAAGATATGGGGTGGGGTGGGGTGGGGTGGGGGGGTAGCACTTTTGAGAGCTGCTTTGAAACTATTAAGACCAAGAACATTCTTTACTGGAGTGCTGCTACAGAAATGACTGTCTTTTACGAGGTACTATCTCCAGGCAACCTCTACAATCATAAATCATTTAAGAGAAAATTACAACGTGTTAGAGACCTTACCAAACACACACACCTCCAATCCCACTCAGCCCTTCTTGGGCCGTTTAACTGACACATTCTTTCCTCGAATCGCCCATTTTTTTAAGGTGCAAATGAACCTCTTAAAGTGTCACCAGCAGACCTGCAAGTTGAGGAATGGCAAAAAGGAGATCACCCAAAAGGAGATGGCAGGGCTCGAAGCCAGGCTGAGCGCCTGGGGCATAAAAAGGGGCAGGTGCCCCAGGAGGTGCCAGAGGCTGCTGCAACTCCCAGGGAGGCCCAGCACTGAAGGCAGAGGTGTGAGGACCTGGGACAAAACCAAGCAGCCTGGCTTCGTACCCCAAGGAGCCCAGAGGGAGCTGCCTTGGAGGAGGCAGCTGCAAAGGGGGATAAGCAGGCACCTGGAAGGAACGACAGGGATGCACTGGAGGGGACCCCGGGGGAGCAGGGAGGTCCGCGAGGACGGGGCCGGTGGGGACCCCAAAGGCGACCCACGGGATGAGGCTGGACTGGGACAGGGAAGGGGTGGAGGAAACGCAGGGATGGACGGAGCTGGGGCGCAGTGGGCGCCGGGGACGCAGCCGGTCCAGCCAAGTGCCAGCCGCATCCTCCGGCGGCGGGGCGCGCGGGGCGCTTTGGGGGGCGCGCGCCCTGCCCCCCCCCCGGTTCTCAGGGCCGGCCGGCCGAGTACCTGGGCTCGGGCAGGACGATCTTCTTGCTGGCGCGGGCGGCCGGCGTCGCCTTGCTCTTCTCCATCGCCATCAGGTAGCTGACATCGGCCAGCAC